TCCCCCGGGACTCCAACCCAGAACCCTCTGGTCCTGGTTCCCCCGGGGACTCCAACCCAGAACCCTCTGGTCCTGGTTCCCCCGGGGACTCCAACCCAGAACTCTCTGGTCCTGGTTCCACTAGGGACTCCAACCCCAGAACCCAACCTGAAATGTGTATGTATAAGTATGAGTTGATTTCTAAAAAAGGATCATAATTTTCTTCCGTGTAACACACCTTTTTTTTTCTAACTTTTTAACCAGGCAGAATGAGGGGGGGTTGCCGGCCTCTAGATAAATCGATTCCTCTTTGGGTTGGATAAATGATCCTGGTCCCATTGGCTGCCGCACACCCTCAGAGAAAGACTGATCCACTCCCATACTAAACAGCCCCCCCCCCTCCTTCCCTTTCACTATGCAGGTGATCTGCACAGTGCACCACTGCAGCTTTGACTTTCAGCCATATCTCAAGGCGCTTTTTTTCCGTTAGATTCCCTCGAAATTCCAAACCCTTAGCTGGACCTCCAACATTTGGAAGTATCCTCATATATATCCATGCTATTTTAAACACCTGGAAAGTGGAATATCAGGGTCTGTTCCTTGACCTCATCAGTCCACGTTTGGAAGTATCAGGGGAAGATGCTTGAGCCCAGATCTGTTCCTTCCAGTTTGATTGAACCAGCTAATAAACTTCATAGTTCATCGTTGACCGAACTCGTCTCAAAACACTGTTTCCCAAGGGATTTCATTCTGGAACAAAATGTGGATCCAGCCATCTTAATGACAGATTTCTACAACTGGAATGGCTGAAGAACTCAGGTTGAAGACAAGTCTGGCCTCCAGGACTCAAGAATTTTCAACTTTTTTGTGTTTCACAGCTCGTGAATATTTAAGAGCGCTTTTGATTCCCTTCACCTTCCTCAATGTGACAGAGATATAAGCAAAACCCCTCTGGCAAACCTTTGTGATCATTTGTGAAAGTTTGGTGCGACAAACCTTTGCGAACATCTTCTCAAAAAGCTGCGATTGGAACGTGTTTGTATCATAAGTTTCAAGGACGCTTAAAATGAAAAATGTATTAGTTTATTAGTAGTAGATGTTTTGTTGGTGTCTTTCTCTTCTTAAAAGTGCTCCGTCTGGCTCTCTGAATAAAGGAAAAGGGTTTGGTTTACAAAAAAAACACTGTCTAGAACCACTATAAGCTGAATAACATTACAGTCCCTGGCTGGTCCGAATACATTCAGAGACCTCGTTGATTTCAAAATGATTATATTAAGATTGAACAAAGCTCAAAAAAATACTGCTAAGTTCAGTTACGCTTTTCCAAGCAATAGGATGCTTCATAGTTTCAACCAGCAGCTGCAGGGACTAAACAATTAAGTACAATTTTAGGTAAATGATGATGGTTTGTAGTGTAATTATGCTGTTTGATACCAGATCCTTTAGGGCCATCTAGTGGTTTGTTTTCTTCTGTTTCCAGAAGAGTCCAGAAGAGCAAATCAATACACGGCTTGATAAATATTATAAATCCTGTTGAGTTTTAACTTCATCCAATATTTTAGCTTGTTTTCCAGTCATTTAAAGACATTTATGTTATGATGTTGTTGAACATAATCAGATTTCTTTTGCATGGGAACAAAGCTGTCTTTGGCCCGGTATAGTCAGGCGGGGGGGACCAATGAATAGGCAAAAGAAACATGGCTCCAATTTGACGGGGAAAAGACCTTTCTTTTGAACTGGTTTAGATGTTGATAGCCTGCAATGATAGAAGGCAGAGCTCAGATTTGTGTGTCAGCACAGTGGAGGGCTCCTTTGTGGGTTTATTTCCATGTAGGGATTAAATATTCATCGATCATTCTGTGTCTGTGTTTTTCCCCCTTCCCACCCTGCTGTCATTAGTAAGGTCATGAAAGCGTGTAGGAAAGTTAGCTTTCACAATCTAATCAAAGGCCCAGACGAAAAATTAATTGACCTTCACTCATCGTGAGCAGTTTTGTAAAAAAATTATGTGCATCTGTGCCAGACAAAAAGCCGAAAAACATCAGTGATCTAGTGTCAAAGAGCTATTTCACAGGGAATTTTAGGGGCTTTCCAATGTCCAGGAAGCATTTTTATCTTGTGTTTCATTGGTCCTTTTATTCAGAAGTGGAAGCTTGGCTGCACATTTCTCAGAAAAAAACAGAATTGAGGTTATGTGCTCAGAAGGCCAGATGTGGAATTACACTGACATCTGGTGGACAGATAGAATTTTAATTCTTTTATGAGGAAAATTCTCATTGCAAGAATATCTACTAACGAAATAATAATAAAATTGCATCATAAATCAAAAAGAAATTGGCCCGATATTTTTGTTGAGGCCAAAATTGAAAAAGACTTTAGATTCTGCAAACGTCCGAAGGCTGAATTTAAACTCTGTGAAGCCGAAGGTGAGAGGGGGAGTCTGCAGGGAGTCTCATTAAAACAGATCTGATTAAAGCCTTTCAACATCGTTTCAAACATCTGATCCAAAAATAAAAGAAAAAGAAACCGCGACTGGACAGATTGTGGATTGATATTTTATAGAAATCTCCTTTATGGCAGGTGCATGCTCCTGTGAGGGGCAATTAGCAAAACATGTCCTCATTAAAAGGAGGTACTCACCTCAGGAAGGCACTTCATTTTTTAAGCGATATATAAACATAGTGCTAGAGTTAGTAAGACAACATTCCATGCAAAAGGAGGACTTCATCCTCAAATACTTTAAAAGCATCAGTAAATTCAGTGTTTTTGCATCATAACTATGTACATTTGGATTTATACATTCTACTAAAAAAGTTGAGAATCTATCCCAAAGTGCCGTTTGGCTCCTTCACAAAGTTTGGCAACTTGAACTGAAATATAGAGGAAAGGTAAAATGCAATATTTCTGAAAAACTTAAATGACTTCATTTTCTTCTATGAATGCTTTAAAAAAAATAATTTTCTATTACGGCTTTAAAAAAATAAAACAATAGCAGATCTACACCTAAACTTAAATACAACTCTCTACATCTTTCTTGTAACATTAAAAACTAGGTTTTTACTGTCAGAGTTCCAGCTGTGACAGCTCCATAAATGAGCTTTTCAGTCAAAAACTAGCTTGATATCTGCTAACTAGCTTGATACCTGCTAACTAGCTTGTTATCTGCTAACTAGCTTGATATCTGCCAACTAGCTTGATACCTGCTAACTAGCTTGATATCTGCTAACTAGCTTGATA